GACCAGCCTGGACTACACAGTGAGACCTTGACTCAAAACAAACAAGCAACTAAAATGACAACAACAACAAAAAGAACTTTTGTTCATTAAAAAAGAGAAAAAGATACAAACAAGAGGAAACCTGGAAGGTGGAGGCAGGAGGATCAGGAGTTCAAAGCCAACCTCAGTGACAGTTTGAGTATAAGGACAGGGACAGCCTGAGCCATACGAGAGCCTGTGAAACAAAGCAAAACAAAAAAAGAGTGGAAGGAGATACTTGAGAGAAGGATTTGTCTTAGAAAATATGGGGAAACTGAAGCAGGAGGATTACTGCATGTTCAAGGCCAGCATTAGCCACAAAATAGAACAGTCTCAAAAGAGGGAGGAAGGGCCACGAGATGGCTCTGTAGGTAAAAGTAAAATCCCCAAGGTTGGAGAGCTGGCTTGGCAGTTAAGAGCACTGGCTGCTCTTGCAGAGGACCTGGATTCGGTTCCCAGCACCCACATGGTGGCTAACAACCATCTCTAACTCCAGTTCCAGGGGCTCTGACTCCCTCTTCTGACCTCCTCAGGCACTGCATGACATAGGTGCATTTACATACATGCAGGCAATACACTCATACACATAGAAGAAAAATAATTTTTTTTTTTAAAAGTAAAATCCCTAGAATCCAAGGTAGGAGAGAATCAACTCCTAAAAATTGTCCTTTGACCTCTACAGGTGTGCTGTGGAATGTACGTACACACACGTACACACACACACACACACACACGTAAATACATATATGGAACTAAAACTACAATTTTTTTTTTTTTAATGTGTATGAGTGTATTGCCTGCATGCGAGTGCACCCATGTCATGCAATGCTGTGGAGGTCAGAAGAGGGCTTCGGATTCCCCTGGAACTGGAGTTAAGGAGAGTTCATAGCTTCTATGTGGGTGCTGGGAATCAAACCCAGGTCCTCTGCAAGAGCAGTCAGTGCTCTTAACTGCTGAGCCATCTCTCTAGCCTCAAAACTACAATTTTAAAACATAGGTAGACAACCTGATAGCAAGAGGGAAAAGGCCTTGACAAAGCCCTTTGGAACAGAGAACCTCTTTATAGCCAATGATCATAAGAAAAGATGCTCATCTTTGTGAATGATCAGAGAAATACCAGCTCGAGTTACAATGACATACCACTGCACACCAATTAGACTGATAGAAATCATCCTACAGGGGCCTGTTCCACACCATTTGTGCTTAGGGCTGAGGCTAAGGGAGGATGTGTCTATGCTTCCAAAGCTTCAAAAGCAGAAAAAGGCACATTTGTACACTAGATCTTAAAGCTCCATGCAGAAGTGACATATGTCACTCCCACTCACACTTCATTAGCTAAATTCATATTTCATGGGCATAAGAAAGTCACACAGCTATACCACTTCAGAAGGGCAGAAATATAATTCTACCATGTGTCCTAAAGGGGGAAAGAACTAGAAACACTTAGCTACCAATGGTTACTAATGATTACCGGGCCAGGCTAGGTGGTGCATACCTTTAATCCCAGCACCTGAGAGGCAGAGGCAGGTGGATCTCTGTGAGTTCAAGGCCACCCTGACCTACATAGTGAGTTCCAGGCCAGGTGGGACTATAGGGAAACTCTTATCTCAAAAAGACCTAAAAACAAAACAAAACAAAAACAAAACAAAAAAAACTCACAAACCTTAATGATTGCCACACTGATAAAACAAACTTTTGGTGAAGATATGGAACACTGCGAATATAATTTGACACAACCACTCTGGAAAAGTATGGAACTTTATAATAAAGTGGCAGATGCAGCCTACAGTTAGGATAAGGCCTCGGGCCCCAAACTTGCACTCTTACCAGTGCTGCTGGAGTTGGTGCTTCCCATGCCTCTCCTTCCTAGGGCCCCACCCAAGACCATCAACTTACTATCAAGAGAAATGGATGTTACAGAGAAATGTACAAAAACATGCGATAGCACACATTCTCAATAGCATTCAAAGTAGCATATTTCCTAGTAGCCCCAAACTCAAAACAAATCTAAATCTTACACTAGAAGGATAATTCATATAATGGAATCCTAGGCAGCATTAGAAATGACACAATCTACTCACAGCAAAGTGGACAATTCTTACAAACAACACAATGAAAGAAAGTAAGAAACAGCACGCTGTGATTCCAAAAGCCAACCTGAAAGCACACTCTAGGCTGCCTGGACAATGAAGTAGCCTGGACTGGGGGCGGGGGCATTCTCCCTTCTTCAACTGTCTCTTCCAGGTGTCCCATCTCAAAGGCTCTTGAGTCTTCTGGTACTGGGCAGATGGTCTTCCCAGGTAGTGTCTAGAAACATCCGGCACTCAAATGCACACTGCCTAGTATCCAAGCACTTTGTGTTTCTCTTCACTGACATGGCTACACTTACAGTTGCCTGGTAAAAACAGGGTTCACTGGGGGAGGAAGTGAGGATGATACTCCAGCAGAGACTGTCCCTAACACGCCTATCCATGGAGACAACAGGAGAATGAGGGATCTATTCCTTCTCTTCTCTCACTTGGAAAATTCCTTTTCCCAGAAATATCTATCCTTTAATCTATACTCTGAGATACTGAAGAATTAAGTACTGGTCTGGTAAGCAACAGGTAGCACCAACAAAGGAACCCACTTTGCATATCACACAGTAAGATAACCCTCAAAGTAACACCTTATATTTTATAACTTTAAAAAAAAATTGAGGGTGGAGGGGTCAGCAAGATGATTCAGCAGATAAAGGTACTTGCTGCCAAGCCTAATGACCTGAATAACCACTCAGAGTAGAAAGAGGAGGACTGGAAGTTCAAGTCAAGGTTATCTTTGAGTACAGGGTGAGTTTGAGACCAGCCTGGACTACAGGGGACCCTATCCTAGAAGAAACAAACAAACTGTATGTTTTAAGCCAGTCACAGTGGCTCATGCCTGTAATCCCAACATTCAAGAGGCAGAGGCAGGAGGATTGCCAGGACTATGTAATAGTGGGCTAAGTAATAGGCTCCACTCTAGCTGTGATGACTGAGATCCAGTCTCAGAAATAGCAAAAAACTTTAAAAATAGTAACAGTAAAGCCTATAGAGGACACAGCTCCATTACCAAGATTCAATATTAACCTTCTGTCCCCCCAAACGTACTTAAGTAGATTTGAACTATGCCTCTCCTTGATGTAAATCACAAGACAACAGCATCCTTAACAACTTGACAACAAACAACTCCACTGCTTACAAAGAGAAAGGGCTAAGAGATCTTTGAAGCTTCTAAAATCCTTTCAATGACAGTGAGCCCTGGATGCCTTGTGAGGCTGTCAGAGTCTCACACTATCTCTAAGGAAGGTGGTTATGTGATGCTCCTGCACCAGGCTGCTGATGGAGTCACAAAGGCAGGCCAGAAATACTCAGGGAAAACAGAACTCCTGTCCAACATTTGAACAAGAATACACTGACTGTACACCCTGGAAAACAGCATCTGTGAACCCTGGTACAATTGACAGAGATGAAAGAGAAGCCACTAGAAAATGTCAAGGAGTCCTCTGCATGGTAACGCTAGCAGTGATGAGTCTAAAAATTTCTGCTTTATCATGATCAAAACAAACTAACAAAAACCATGTCATAGCAATGGGCAATTTTCTCAAAAACAATCATACTTCTTTCCAAATGTCATGGATTACTGTGCAGACACTGGTTGATTTACCAGTGAGCAACACTAAGAACAGCATGTGCCAGCTGGATAAAAATAACACTCCAATTCCCTTGCTAGCTATCTCCTATGTTTAGCTTGGCACATGGGGACATAGGCCATGTCACAGTTATACTTGCAAAACAAATCTAAGAACACTACTTGGGACCATTTCAATTCTGCCTGAGTGTGGTTTACTAGAGTAGCATGGATGCATCAGTCACTATGATGCTCTTTAGGAAAGGTACAAAATTATTACATCAAAGTTCCTGCATCCTGATAAAATGTCATTGTTACTAACCTATGCTTAGGAAACTCATTTCATAACCGATGTAAAAACTATGGATGTCTACTTTGGCTGCACAGCCAATTATTCTATTGTCAACACTGCCCATGAACAGAAGAACCAGTAAATAGGCCCAGCGACAATCTCTGTACTAAAACTGCAATGTATCTCAGCCAAAAAAAAAAAAAAAAAAAAACCTTTAAAAAACAAAAAAAAAAAAAAAAAAAAACACTTTCAAAAACAAAAAAAAAAACAAAAAAAAAAACAAAACAAAAAACAGGGTATCACTATGCAGCAGACCTGGCTGGTGGAATTCAATACACAGACCAAGCTGGCCTCAAACTCATAGGGATCCACCTGTTTCTGCCTCCCAAGTAAAGGCATGAGCCACCACACCAAGCCCAAAATGACTTCTTTATAAACATTTAAGTCTTCTAAAATTTTTTTTAATTAATTAATGTTTATTTTAGGTGTATGAGTGTTTCGTGTGCATGTATGCAGGTACATTATGTGTGTGCAATGCTTGCAGAGGTTCCTAGATTTCCAGTGATCTGACTCCTGGGCATCTGTTCCTAAACAATAAAAAAATACCGTGAAGGGGGCTAAAGAGATGACTCAGCAATTAAGAATACTAGCTGCAGGCTGGGTGTGGTGGCCTTTAATCCCAGAACCAAGAAGCAGAGGCAGGTGGATCTCTGTGAGTTCAAGGCCATCAAGGACAGCCTGGTCTACATAGTGAGTTCCAGGAGGGGCTATAGGGAGACCTTGTCTCAAAAAGACCAAAATAAAAAGGTTCAGGCTTGTAGTATTGCTCAGTGGTAGAGTACTTGCTTAGCATGCAGGAGGCCATGGGCTCAACCCCTAGCACTGAAAAATTAACTAATTAATTTGCTAGTTGATTAATTAAAAAAGATTCTAGAACTAGGTCAGAGTAAAAACCAAGAGAAAGCACAAGATGGTGTACAGGAGGCTAGAGATGCCCTAAACTCTTAGTTTAATAGGAGCCCTGGTTTGGGAGAGAACATACCTTATCCATATGGAAGATCAAATCCAATTCACATACATTTTCAAAACACTTATCCAGAGTTTCCACGAAAACCTAAGGAATAAGAAGAAGCAGATGGGAAGAGAAGAACAGATTTACAGTTTTACAAATGGCACATATAAAAGTAAAAAGGATATGCCTGGTACACACCTATAGCCCCACCTACTCAGAAGCTGTGGCAGGAAGACAGCTTGAGCCCAAAGGTTGAGACCAACCTAGCACAGTAAGCTATCAAAACTCATTTAAAAAAAAAAAAAAAAAAAAAAAAGCTGGGACTAGAGGTGCAGGCTGTAATCCCAGCTACTCAGGAGACTGAAGCAGGAAGACTGCAAATTCAAGGCCTGCTTGGGGTACAGAATAAGTTCAAGGCAAGTCTGGACAACTTAGTGCAACCCTGTCTCAAAAAAATATTTTAAAGTTAAATAAATAAAGTAAAAGGTGAAGCCATGACACTTTTTACCTTTACCTTACAATAAATCTCAAAAACAAATAAGCAAGCCCTACCTTTTGTCTCCAACATTAGTTGACACCCTACTTAACCCAATTCCAGAAGGTCATCTAAGACAGGAAAGCCTTGTTATTAGTACAGCAATTCAATTAGCAGAGACACAAGGTTTTCTTTCCCGCTTTATAAGATGTTAACTTACATGAAATAAAATACCAATTATTTACATTATGTCCTGTCCTCAATCTTGAAGTACACATATATGAAAAATTTCCCTTACGGTGTTAACACTTTTATCTATTGATCTCAACTAACATTAACTTCAAAACATCTATGCATCTACTTAATTCACACAATTACAACTTTAGTATAACATAACATGAAGGTGTACAAATAATAAGGGCACAGCTCAATTAATTTTTAGATAAAGATAACCATGTTAACTGATACCAGATTATCTGGGATTTCTTTGGGGTTTTTGTTTTATTGAAACAGGGTTTTGCTACATATCTTAAGCTGGTCTTGAGCTCACTATGTAGCCCAGGTTGGCCTTGAACTCACAGCAATCCTCCTGTCTCAGCCTTCTACATTCTGGGATCATAGGCACATGCCCAGATATCCTTTCTAAAGATTTTTTTTAATTACATGTATTCTGGGTATGTGTACACATGCATATGCCACAGTGTGCATCAAGAGGTCAGAGGACAACTTGTGGAGTCAGTTCTCTCCTTCCAGTATGTGAATCTCAGGGATTGAATTCAGGTCATCTTGCTTGGCGACAAGTGCCTTTACCTATTAAGCCATTTGCTGGCCCTATTCTTAACGTTTTGATTTCTTCCTCAGAAGAGGGCCTCATTTCAACAGTCTCCTTATCAGCAATGGCACCGATACTTAGTTGGAGTCTGCAAACCAGGCATACCCTTACACTGTGGTACAAGATGAATGCAAAGGGGCAAACAATCCTGCAATAGCTGCTGGGGAGACACACAATGACCTGTCTCTTCTCTACATTAGCAAAGTATTACTCCATCCAATGTCCAATTGCTGTTTTCCTTAGTGACACTGATACAAGATGCAACAGGCAGAAGTGTTTGATGTCCTGACCTGGGATTGATAACTGGGGCATGGTATTCTTTTAGAAACCAAACACTGGAAAACTATTGCCCATTAAGTATTAATACTCTATGACCTAGCAACTGTACTCCTCAGATGTATACCTTACAGAAATACATACATGTATATGCAAAAAAACCACACAGAATAATTTCATTAGCAGTACTGTTCATAACTTTTTTTTTTTTTTTTTTTTGGTCTTTTTGAGACAAGGTTTCCCTGTAGCCCCAACCTGCCTGGAACTCACTATGTAGACCAGGCTGGCCTTGAACTCACAGAGACCTGCCTGCCTCTGCCTCCTAAATGCTGGGATTAAAGTCATGCGCCACCACACCCAGCACACTAAGCATCAAAATTTGCTATTATGCTTCAGAAATTAAAATATTATAATACTGGGGCTGGAGAGATGGCTCACCAGTTAAGAGAACTGACTGATCTTGCAAAGGACCCAGGTTCGATTCCCAGCTCTCCCACATGGTGGCTAATAACCGTCTGTAACTCCAGTTCCAGGGGATCCAACGCCCTCTTCTGACCTCCATGGGCATTGCACAACACAGGTGTACCTACATACATGCAAGTAAAACTCTCAAATACATAAACTAAAAATAATTAATCAAAAAATTAAAGGACCAATAGAGTTAAGAATCCAGTAAGGAGAGGGCTGGGGAGATTGCTGAGTGGTTAAGAGTGCTTGCTGCTCTATCAGAGGACTGGAGTTCAGCTTTTAGCACTCACATTGAGCAGCTCACAAATGTCTGTAACTCTAGTTCCTAGGGATCCTTCTGACCTCCATGGTGCATGTGCATGTGTGCACACACACACATGTCTCAAAAAGACCAAAATAATAATAATAATAATAATAATAATAAATATTTTTTAAAATATTGTAATACTTGCCAGGTGTGGTGACCCATGCCTTTAATCCTAGCACTCAGGAGGCAGAGGCAGACAGATCTCTTGAGTTTGAGGCCAGTTTACAAAGTGAGTTCCAGGTCAGCCAGGGATACACAGTGAGACCCTGTCTCAAAAACAAACAAACAAACAAACACTGTAATATTAAAGAATAAAAGTATAAATCATTGGGATAGAATGAAATGAAAATATATACATTAATAATGAAATGAAATTTTTGATAAACACGGTACTTTTAATTGGTAGGGAAATGAACTATCTGATAGTGTTGGGACAAATAGTTATGCTTTGCAGGAAGAAAATAGTTATCTTTCTCAATGCAGACATAAAATACCTTAGATATTAATGAACT